CATAGAAGTAGTTCTTAGTGTGTATCAATTTTTAGTTGCCTATTTTTTATTTTTTTTAATTTGCACGGTACAAAATCAAAAACTAAAAATATATATAATTGATCAAAATAATTAAAAAAATGTATTTTTTTTCGGTTCAATCGATCTGGACCGGTTTGGTCTTAAGTATTTTGGTCCGGTCTAAACCCGAATAGATTTAGGTCTGATCTTCAGTCCGTGATTTTATTCAATCCAATCTTTGGTCCGGTTTGGGTCAGTCCGATCTTGGACCGACGAATAGCCTTAATGGTACACCAAATGTATATCAAGGCAAAAATAAGTATATGTAGACACTTAGACCATGTTCTCTCTAACCTGCTTTTTTTATTTATTACTTATTCTTATTGAAATCAGATCAGACCAGATCAGATTAGAAATACCTTTAAATATAAGTACATTCAGATCAGATTGGAACTTATTCCAATTAGATCAGGTGAGGATAACATGGTCTTAATATGTGTGTTGCCTAATTTTGTCTTTGTGTAGTTTAAGTGAGGTTCCCTTAACAATCCTCAATGAAAATTAATAGTAATTCTTATAAAACACTAGCATTTTAATTTGTGCAATTAAATAATTTTTTATTGTATTAAAACTATTTTATTCATTATAAATTAAGTCGTATTTACTACTCATAAGTTAAATGATTGCATATATGAAAAAACTTGTAAATAGAAATTGAAAGAATGTTTTTAGTAGGGGTGGGCACGGATCAAGATGGTTCGAGTTTCATACCATCCCGCTTTTTGTCCCATTATTTTGAACGGTTTGGGCCACAAGCTTATCCCTTTTTGTCCAATAAAATTCAGGATTGAGATAAAACGCAATAGGTTCAAGTTGTCTTGCCTTGTCATCATCTGAAATTAGATGTAAAAATATAAAATATATAGGAGGAGGCAATCCACTTTGACTTGCAAAGTAATGAAAAATTGATATATTTATTTAGAATGTTTTTAAAAACCCCAAAAAATGGAAAAATATGAAAAAATGTTACAACATACATCAAAAGTAAAGATTATAAGTTTCAAAGAAACTATAAGCCACAAATTTGTGCGGATCGAGTTAGAACTTCTGAATTGTTAGGTGCTTCAGTCCTAACCCACTTTTTTATAATATTTAAATCTGGATATTTTTCATATCTATTTTGGGAAAAATAATAATTGCGATACTTTTTTTTATTATATCATTATATAGATAAATAAATAGAAATATACATACAGGACCACGAGACTGAACAAAAAGATATTTATATGTCCCAAGCTTGCCCAATTTTAAAATGGTTTGGAATATATTCAGGATAAAATTTTGTCATCCCTAACAAAATGGGACATTATTGAGACGGAACCCGGATATTTCAAGATTGGCACAACGGCTTCGAGATTGTTGCCCACCGCTAGGTTTTAGACAAAATGAGTAGAATGTTATTGTACAAAGTAATTTTTCAAAATATATTTTTAGTTTTTGAATTTCTATCGATATTTAAGTAAATAAAATCAAACATAACTTTTTTAAGGCAACAAAACTTTCATTAATTCAAAAAAGGGGAAACAAATTCGAAGGTGAGATATCCCAAGCATCAGTGTGGAAGAGGGAAAATCTTATCTCTTGATGCATAAAGAAACATACTCGTTTCTCACAGTCTTCCAGTGAAGTCAAGTTCGGCGCCATCGCCGCGGGGTGGCGCAGGCCATGTGCCTTCTTTATATTACAGACGTGTTTGGCATTCCTCTTTCATAACCAAAGATTTACTGTGCTGGATATCGGGTCTGATGGACCCGACTCTAGGACCGATAAGGGCCCACAATCGTGGAAAGTGAACAAGTCCAGATGCGTGTAACGGATTGGGCCCACTAAGGCACATATGAGTAATGAGGCGGATGGCCCAATCACGGGCTGAATTGAGATGATCCAGTCCAAGAAAGGAATTAGACATGGGCCCACACCCCACATTGTGGGGGAAATGGGGAGAGAACGAGACCGGAAAGGAAGGGAGTACAACCCCACGATCTCCATAATTCTTTCCACTATGTGTAACTTTAATTAAGAAATTAGAAGTACTATAAAAGGGGAAAGAACCCGCCATTGTAAGGGAGACACCCAACAATTACACACCCAATTAAGAATATTATTGTGAGATTATATTTTCCTTATTCATATTCTGTTCTTGGTCCGCCATCTGATCGGGCTAATCCCATCATACTGTGACAATGAATCTACCATATATGTTACAAAGAATCCTGTTTCACACGATCCTATGAAGAATTCGGATTTGATTGTCACTTTGTGTGGGATAAAGTCATACTTGGTCCGTTCCTGAGTGTTTATCCACTTTTAACTTTTGGAACTGTTCATCTAAGCACTTTGACTCATCAAATTCTCTCAATGTATAAGCAAAAAATAGTCATGTGTGATCTTGTTTGATTCATCTTAACATATAGATTATTAATATATAATTTTTATAATTTTTTAATATACAAATTACAAGATAAAATGGATTAAAGAAGTACATTGGATGGTGTGCAAAAATGAAAGTGGACAAACACTCAGGGACGGAGGGCTGGTAACAGTCTACTTATCATTTTTCATCTTATGAATACATATCCCCAAACCGTTGTGGGGTTCAACCGGGTTTTGTTGTTGTTGTATCTTATGAATACGTAGCTGATATTTTGACAAAACTACTTCTGCCCACTCTAGTTGAATGCTTGTGCTCCAACCATAAGTTTCAGAATCGAATCGGTGATTGAGCTGGTCAAGGTACTGGTTCACTAGTCGAACCAGTGGTTCAAGTGATTTGAACTAATGGTTCAAACATATTTTAATATATATATGTGTGTGTGTGTGTGTGTGTGTATAAATATAAGTTATATATGAATAAACAAAATATTATTTTCTTTATTTATAAATTAATAATTATGATACTCGACTAAAGTTATAATCAATTTAATTTAATTCAGTTGTGGTATTAAATTAAAAAATAAAAATTATGTTTTTTAAAGTTTTATAAAATAAGAGTTGATATAACTTTTTCAAGTAATTTATTCAATATTCAAAATATATATATAAATAAAATATTTGTGTGATATGCACTTCATATTAATATCTATTATATCAATTGTTTAGATTTTGAATCTTAGTTCAAAACCCAAATGTAATATATATTTTTCAAAGTTTTTTGAAAACTAATTTTATATTTAAGGAATATTTGATACAATATAACCAAATGTATTTGTGTGATATGCACTTCATATTAATATCTAGTATATCAATGGTTTAGATTTTGTAGTTCAAAATTCAAATATAACATATATTTTTCAAAGTTATTTGAAAACTAATTGAATACTTAAGGAATATTTGATACAATATAACCAGATGTTCAAATAGTCATAACTGGCATTATAGCACAACGGGTAATAGGGTGGTGGAAGGTCCATGACATCAAGAGTTTGAATTCTTACCGCGAAAGTATTGAAAACTTAAAAAAAACTAGTTAATGGTTTAACCGGCCGGGTTTCACCGGTTTTTCCCAGTTTCTGGCGGTTTGGTGTTAATGGTTGTCTCAAGGGCTGGACAGGACTGGTTTGGCATCTGGTTTGCCGATTCTTGGTCTGAACTGGGCAGTTCAGTCCTGTTTTCAAAAGTATGGCTCCAAGTTGTCTCTCGTCTCTATTGACCAGTTTAGCTCACGGGGGATAATATGAAATAAATATTAGTTATTCTTTATTCTCTTATTTTCTTATTGTGTTGTTACCATTATTCTTTTACTATAATTAGGATTTTCTCTTGTAATAATTGTATATAGACATTTTATATTCATTATTTAATAATACCAATTATTATCAAAATATATCAATCTCAAATCATTATGTGTTGAGTCAGAAGTGATGTGATACTGAGAGTAGACCTTTAGTTCTTATCCAAATGACTAAAGAAGTGTTTTCTTTCATATACTTCAATGGACCTATCACAATTTCAAAGATGAGTGAGAGAGAATGTGATATGTTGTGGAAATATTAACTATAAAGATGAACTATAGGATATCTTTACACTTGTTTTACACTAGCATAGTTAACTCATTAACTTTATTCTCTATGGTATTGTTTTCTTTGAAGCAAATTTTTTTTCATCCATAATAAAATCACGAGCATAAATAAGCTCTTTATAGAAATATTGTTTGGAGTTCTTTAGATTATAGGAAATATTGTATCATAAATTAGGAACAAGTATGCATGCCAAGGAAATGGAGGCATGAGATTTAAAAATTTGATAAATTATTTATATCGAATGTTGATAACAAGAAAGGCGTGTTATGGATTAAATGGTGCATGAAAGATACGTTAAAGGGTATAATACTTAGCAGTGCAGTATCAAAGAACAATCATGGTATTATTGGAAAAAGATGATCAAGGTCATGAGGATATTTCAGAATATGTTTTAATGACCCAAATATGATATTAAGAGAGTGTATCTTTTGCTCATAATGGATAGGCCCAAAGTTGAATGTCTTAGCTCGTGTAGAATAACTTGTATATTGTAAAACATCGTTTTATTATTTGCCTGAATTGGATTATTTGCCTAAGGTTAGATTTTATAGATTTTCATATTAATACTACATTTACAATGTGTGGAAGAATATATGGAGATATTGATTACCTTTTTCAATATTTGCCTTTGTCTTAGTGTGGTGCATTCTTTAGTGTTTTTTAGAATTAACATTAACGTCGTTGCTAAATTACTAATGAGAAATGGGCAGAAAATAAGAAATGAGCATCATTTATTTTATTGATTTTTGTTTCATGAAAATAAACTAATAAAGATTTTTTTGGAAAAAAAACAAGAAATGTTTAATTTGAGACAAATAAAATATATATTAATTCTTTTATTACGAAAATAAAAAAATTATCAAACTTAGAGACAAGATGTAAATTTTAAAATATACTACGTAATATTGTATATTTATCAAACTACAACAAGGATATTGGTGCAATAAAATATTATTTTCAATTGAAACTTTCAATGATCAATGTAACTTCCAAACACGCCCTACTGCAAACCCTAATTTCTCTTGTCTCGCATAATATAACACTCCGCCGCACACTCATTTTCCCTCCCACTGCGGCGGCCACGGAACTTCATCTCAGCGGAGCTCAGCCATGGTAATCTTTCCTATAGCCAACTATCCACGCTGCGTGTATACCTATAACGTCTCTATACCAATGTCGTCTGTTCAACTCTCTTCCCTGTAGGGTATCGATCTGAAAGCAGGAGGTAAGAGCAAGCAGACTAAGCGCACAGCGCCGAAATCGGAGGATGTTTACTTGAAGCTTCTTGTGAAGGTTTGATCAGATCTTTCTTAATTTGCGTTTATGCCTTCAAATGTGCATTTTGTTCATCTGAGTTCTGGAGCATTGAATAATTGCTCGATTTGCAACAGCTCTACGAATTTTTGGTACGAAGGACCGGAAGCAAGTTCGATTCTGTGATCCTGAAACGCTTGTACATGAGCAAGACGAACAGGCCCCCACTCTCCCTCTCCAGGCTGATCTCTTTCATGTCCGGAAAGGTGTGTGCTTAAAAACTGTTTTTATGACTTGGTGATGTTTTCGCAGTGGCGGATCCAGAAATTCAAACAACTGGGGGCGAGCTTGAAGAAAAACTTACTCTCCATTTGTCCCACAAAAACATTTCTTGTTTGAAAAAATGGACTTCAAAAATGTATCTTTGATACTAGTATTATTTTCTAATCTTTATATAAAACATCATACCATATTTTTTTTGAACAAATGTGCGGTTGTAATATTCCCACAAAAGCCAAATACATAATCTTACTTTCTCAAACTCAGCATAATCTACTCCCTCTACATACTCTATACATATCCTACCATATTATAAAATAGCATTAGATCGAATTAGATAATAACACATAGTACTAGAATAATACATTTTTAAAATGTACTTTTTTTTCACCGAGAAATTTTTTTGTGAGATGGAGGAAGTACTAAATTTCTTGGTGTAGATAAAAAATGATACTTCGTAATAAATAAAAATATGTGGTGTAAGTAGGGTACAATTTGGTGTACCAATACATAGAGAATTTTTTTTGAGAAGTAAACAAGGATAATACTCCGTATATTACAAGGAAAATGCTAGGGGTACACCAAAAGTGTACCCCAAACATCACCCACCCCCTCCATCACCACAAAAAAAAGCAAGAAAAATTCAAAAAAAATAAAAATAAAAATTAAAAACAAAATAAAATGAATGGTAAAGGGAGTGGTGGTGTACATTTGGGGTACATCTTTGGTGTACCCCTAGCATATCCCATATTACAAAGTTATACTCCGTATCATAGTAATGTAACATATGAAATAACAGTACATTTTTTTTGTTTTTTGAAAAGTTTTTTTTTGCATTTACCGAAGTGGCCAGGAAGGATTGAAAGTATTGGGGGCAGCCTACTTTTTTATGGGGGGCGTCACTTTTATTTCTTTAAAAAAATAAGGATAGCTAATGTATTAATAAATTTTTTTCTTAAAGTCACTGGGGGCAAGTGCCCCCATTCCTTCTAACATGGATTCGCCCATGTTTTTGTATAGTTCTGTCATAATCTGGTCCTGTATGTTGATTTTCACTAATATTTTGATGATTTTGTAAAGGAGGATAAGATTGCTGTGTTGGTGGGGACAATCACAGACGACGTTAGGGCTTATGAAGTCCCAGCTATGAAGGTTTGTGCACTGAGGTTCACCAAAACTGCAAGGGCAAGGATCGAGAACGCTGGTGGAGAATGCTTGACATTTGATCAGCTTGCTCTTAGGGCTCCATTAGGACAGAATACGGTATTAAATCAACAAGCATTTGCTTTAGTGTTTTCTATTATATTCCGTGCTTGCTTGCCACCTATATTTATTTGCATTATGCTTATCCATAGTATATGAGCTCTATCGTTCGGACTATGAATGAATGTTTTCAAATAAAATTGAACTTTGAATTGAAAAAAAAAGTTATGCAAATGTAAATAGATGAGATGAACTGTTTTGTATTTTCAACAATATTTTAAAATTGTTAAATGTATGGTTTGCCCTTATGACGTTTCATAGATTTCTGCATGCTACCATAGATAGCCAGCCTATGGTGGTTGACTATCTGCATTGGCTAGTACCTTTTTTAGTTTAGAAAATACTTAGTGAATTGTGTGGCCCTTAGGATCGCCTTCCACTCTTTCAATGGAAGCGTTTGAGTCATAGCTACGCTATATCAAATTCATTTATACCATCTCCCACATTTATGGAGATCCAGATCTTTGTGGTTGTGGTATATATGGGATTCTCTCTAGGGTTCTCCTTTTGAGTCTCTTCTCTCCCATTTTCTATTGCTAAGTCATTATATTTCTTTCTGGTCTATTCTCCACTGTGGGACCCTGGAACCAGAAGTGTATTGATAATGACCGTTGAAAGAGGGTACATACAGTTCATGAAATTCAAATGTTTTATTTTTCATCATACATATAGATATAATACCTAGGGCTGATGGCTATATTTCATCAGGTTGACAAGTTGCTGAGACTTTTATAATAATAGGTTTGGTTCAAGTTTATGGTATGGATGATGTAGTGATTAGATGTGCGGGGTCGAATGCCTCTAAGAGCTTATTCTATGAGGCTTATAGATATTTCGGCTACCCCCACTGTATCTTTAAATCCATTTATTGATTAATTGAACAACCTTTTCAGTAATTTTAAGTCCCTGATAGTGTGATGAAAGGTATAGCTATTGGATTTGTTTTATCTGATTTTTGCGTAGCCCTTGAGATCGCCTTCCACTTTTTCTATGGAAGCGTTTTGAGTCATAGCTACGCTACATCAAATTCATTATATACTCTCTCATGCATTATATGAAGATCCAGATCTTTGTACTTGTGATTGTGGTATGGATGGGATTCTCTCAAGGGTTCTCCTTTTGAGTCTCCTCTTCCACTTGTTAGTTTTGTGTCATTATGTTTCTTCTTGATCTATTCCCTCTTGTGGAATCCCAGATCAAGAAGTGTATTATTCATAATGACTGCTGAAATGTGGATACATAACAACAGTTCATGAAACTCAACTGTATCTGTTTTTTTGTTACATTTTTCCTGGGACTGGGAGCGGAAACTGTATTTTATCAAATTGGGAGGTTTTGCCATTTTAGTGAAGGTTTTAATCGTGTTTCTGGCATGAATGATGAGGTGATTAGATGCGCGAGGGGTGAATGCCTCTATGAGCTCACTTTTCGAGGCTTATTGATATTCTGACTTGCCAGTCTCCTAGAAATTCTCTCTACTGTTTCTTTAAGTTCTCTAGATTAATCAAATACCCCTTTTCAATACTTGTGCATTTGTATAAACATTAGGTGCCTGAATTTAAGCCCTTGATGTGAAAGAGCAATAACTGTTGGAATTGTTTGATCTGAATTTTGGTAAATTTTCATGGCTGTGGTTTGCAGGTTCTGCTGCGAGGTCCTAAGAATGCACGGGAAGCGGTGAAACACTTTGGGCCCGCTCCGGGTGTTCCCCACAGCCACACCAAGCCGTATGTGCGTTCCAAGGGACGGAAGTTTGAGAAGGCCAGGGGAAGAAGAAACAGCCGCGGATACAAGGCTTAGTTTTTCATTTATTTTTATGGAGGAATCGGTCTTTTGTACGCAGGCATTCAAATTTTGCAAAAGATTTATGTAGTGCCAAGTACTCTTGTTTCTTGTTTTCTGCTCTGTTGTATTTGAGTGTGGATCTTAAAGTTTGTGAACACAATATACTTTGACTTGCAAACTTGTACCCTCTCCTTCTCAATTTAAAGTCTGTTTTTATAACAAAATAATTTTAAATTGTTCGGAGTAATAGAGATATGAGGTTTTTTATTGAGTAAATTCTATAAAAGGTCCCCAGTTATAGGTCGTTTTACATATTTAGTCCATACATATTAAATATTACTAATTTAGTCCTCAATTATTATATTTATTTCCACGAATGGTTCTTTGTTAACATTTTCGTTAAAACGTGGGTAAAATTATAAATTACACTCTTTTCTCTCCTCAATTAAGCTTCCCTCCTCCCTTGCACACCTTTCTCAAATTTGTCACTGAGTTTCTAGCTTTGAATCCTAAACCAAAATTATCACTCTTCTCTCAATTGTTTGTCTAACTGAAGGAATGATCATTTAAGTTTTGGGTTTAAAAGATTCAAACTCAGTGATGAATTTGGAAAAAAGTATGAGAAAATGGAGGAAGCTTAATTGAAGAGAGAGAGAAGTATGAATATACAATTTTGTCCACGTTCTTAACGGAAATGTTAACAAAGGACCATTCGTGGAAATAAATATAATAATTGGGGACTAAATTAGTCATATTTGATATGTAAGGACTAAATATGTAAAACGACCTATAACTGGGGACCTTTTATATAATTTACTCTTTTTTATTTGAGAAGTATCCCAACTTGGAGTGTTGTAATAAAAAATATTTCATAATAAAAAACGGAACTTCTTGTACATGTGCGCTTTCAAATGTACATTTGCCATTTCAAATGGCTTTTGTAATTTATCCTATACTCTGTATTAGGTTTGATGGAAAATACTGTAATACTTAATTCGGTCTAAAGTTTTGTATTGTTTATGAAGATCAATATGATCAAACTTCTTAAATAAAGAAGGCGAATAATACATATTTCCCGAAGATGCTTCTCTCATTCCCTATAAAAGAAGGGTTTGCCTTCAATATGGGGAAAGGCTTCTCTCCTCTCATCACTCTCCCCTGCTCACACACACACTCTAGATAGTTGATAGGGTATTTTCTTCTTTTTCACGAGTTTATAGCTCCTCCATTTGACACACTTCTCAAATTTCGTTCTTATGTGAGTGGGTCTACCTTAATTTTTTTCTCATACACTATGTTTGGTTCAAATAATTTGGCAGGAAAAAAAAAGAAAATAGTTTTCCGGTGTGTAGTGTCGATGCAACTGCAAGCAGAGGCGGCAAAGGAAGACTGGAGGAGGAACCAAGGAGGCACTTGCTCAACCACAACCTCGTAACTACAAAATCAAGCTACAAAGTTAGGTATCGTTTCTGCTAAGTAATTTTTGGTGCTCATTAGTATGCATCATTTGAAAAAGTCAATAAGGGGTGAAATATTGAGAAAGCTTGAGAAGCTACCTACTCAAATGAAGGGATTTATGTAATGGTATTATTCAATAATTTTAAATTCTACATTCCTTAGCCCCCTTCACCCCATTTTGAGGATGCATAACATGACTACCTTGCTTGGTAAAAAAACATGATTGTTGTGCTTGAAAGAGGATAGATCATCCTAACTAATAGTTAACTAATTTTGATGGTGGATGTGTATGTGCATTCATTTATCTTTGATGATTGGAACCTGATTGAAAAAACTTATTGGATATTATTCAGATTTTGCCCTTAAGTTACATGGTGAGCCATATTTTCTTTGCCTTCCTCTTGCAGATAAGGTCTACGTTCAATTGGATTTTATATATTGAGCCACATTATTCCTCTTGCCTCATAGGGTTAGTCTTCACACATGTGTTGCCTCCACTATGTAGACCACCACAATCTTTTGGTACTCAGTTCACGACTGAGGCTTATAGCTGCAAGTGCCTGCAACCATCATGTTAGGGGACCGTTCATAACGACTGCCTATCAGTCTTATTATTCAAAAACGAGGAGTGGCTTTGGATGTTTTGTTTTCATTTTTCCAGAAAGATGTTCTCCATATTGGTTTAAAATTAATTTTGAGGGAATAATAATGATGTCTATCTCATGACAAGATTTTTTTGAGAAGGATAGTCAAGTTATTGTATGTCATAATCGGTAATACTTCAAATTTTAAGCACAAAAGAGTTGAAATAGTAGCCTTCGAAATCAAATGATGGTCTTCATCATGGCCTAAGATATTAATGTGAGTCTACTACTTCGTACTAAAATAACCATACAAATGGTGTTTTGTTTCACTATTACATACAAACATTGATCGAGAACTTTATATGAGGGAATAGGAATCATTTGTAAACTATGCAACTACTTCCTAATAAAATTAAAAATGGTGCAATCAATTAATTATTACGCAAATATTGGCTTTGAAAGGTAAAAAAAATCTTAATGGTGTAACAAATATAGATAAAAAGAGTGGGAACCTTTATCGCAATATTACGTGATATAAAAATTTGTGAAGATAATAACTAAACATTCATTATATATACATGGCATTTGACTAAATTTTTACTTTTCAAATATGAAAACATATTCTTTCCGTGCAACGCACGGGTACGAATCAAAGTCCACATTTAAAATGTGAACCTTCTCACATTTTTTATGAGCTTTCATGTAGATATTTTTTTATTTTACAAAAAACTCACTTCTTTTATACTACAAATACACTAAGGTCTATAAAATAAACATGGACTTTAGATCTACAGAAGAATTTGCCTACTCCATAAGAAGCTACTTAGAAATCACATGTGTACTAGGAAGTCAACTAGGATGTCACATATGTACTCAATGACCCAATCTTCGAATTTTGTTAAAAATACCTTTTGTTACAATTTTTTAATTTTAATGATAAGGTATCCTTTTATGGAGTAATACAAATTAAAGATTGCATATCTTTTTTTACAATGTAAAAAAAGCCTAGAGATATGGAATAATTTCGAAATAGTTTTGATAGATGTTATGGAGCATACAAAAGTTAAAATGTTCATCATTTTCATGGAACTCCAAATCTCTACTCTTGAGAACAATTGAATTAAATCTTCATCAATTGCTATTTAAAAAAAATCACATTTGATTCTTTTGACATTTATCATATTTGAATGCGCTCCTATGTTACTCATATGTCCACCCGAGCACTACATTGTGACTCTTTTTCAAATGAATACTCCCTCCCTCCCATAATGTTCGTCTTGTTTTAACTTTTTACAGTGAACCAATATCGATCCTTGACCTTTAACTAAATAAAAATCTTATGTTTTACTAATTTGATAAGAACAACATTTATAAAACAAGCATTTTGTGATTCACCCCTCATGAACATTACACTGGGTTACATACCAAACAAGGTCCTAAAAGACTAGCATGTTAGGTGAGAGCGAGAGAGAGTCCATTTGGTCTATATACCCCTCCCGACGTGGGACAAGTTTCATACCTTGCAAATGGTTTCAGTTCGTAACAGACTGATCTGTATATTGTAGGTTACAAGATCAACCTTCATTCCCTTGTGCACCATCCCATCCAGCATCTTTTTAGCTGTTTCAGAACCCCATGGCACAGGCAGGGGCATCGTGTGAGCCTTGCTGGCGACCTATAGGGTGGATGTCCTAATCTTCGAGGCTATTCTTTGGATTCAGCCCCTTGCATGGTGAGTTTAGCCGTGACAAAAATCTTGTCCCTGGCCAGTTGAGGCATGTCCCACGGTTTACCTCCTCCACCAACCCCCTGGGGTTGGGTGTTCCATCTTTTTTTAGCTGTTCCAGCATCGTCGTCTGGATAAAAGCCCCCAAATAAGCACTTACAAGTGGAACTATGGTAACATTAGGCTAATTCATAGTAGATTGAGACAAGATGCCAGGGCTAAACCATCATTCTACTCTACTTTAGTGAAATATCCCACAAGGGAATTCAGCGCTTCGGGCAGGAAAGAGTAAGCTTAGAAACAATTATGAAACAATAGCTCTAATCTCACTCGTTGTAGAGACGTAAATCTATATCAGGAACAAACCCATTCTCAATCATTGCTGTGTTGATTATATCATAGGTTGTTCGATTAGGTGCTAACCCCTTCTCTAGCATCTCATTTAAAAGCAAATTTGCTTCTTCCAACTTACCTTTTGAGCAAAACCCCCTCATTAGCACATTGAATGTGGCGACATTTGGCTTCTTTCCTTCTCTCTCCATTCTTCTCCTAATGGTAACAGCTGCCTTTGGATTTCCTTGATCGCAATAACCAGCCATTAATGTGTTGTATGTTATGTGGCTTGGAACTAAGCCCTGCTCAAAGATCTCATCCAGCAGGCCTAGAGCCTTTCTTGATTCACCCCTCTTGCACATTGCATCGATCCTTATGTTGTAGGTTACAAGATCAGCTTTCATTCCCTTCTGTTCCATCTCATCCAGCATATTTTTAGCTGTTTCGGCATTCCCATCCGTATAAAAGCCCCCGATTAAGCAATTGTACGTGGAAACGTTTGGTTGAATCATTTTGCTCAACATCAAGTCAAGAATTGACATTGCTTCTTCCATTCTCCCAGCCTTACAATATGCGTCAATCATAGGGTTAAAAGTTAACACATTGACATCTAATCCCTGCTCCATTATTTGATCAAGCAACTCCCTAGCCTTCCCCAACATCTTCGTTTTAGAAAACCCATTTATAAGGGCATTGTAAGTGACAATATTTGGCTCCAACCCCAGCCTCGCCATTTCTGCCTGTAAATCTTGAGCATCGCTAATCCGTCCATCCCCACAAAGCCCGTTAATCAATGAGTTAAATGTCACAATGTTTGCCCTTGTCCCGTGCTCCCCCATCTCACGAAAAATCTTTAAAGCTGCCTTAACATTATTATCCTTACAGAATCCATCAATAAGAGTGTTATATGTTATCTCACTTGGTTTAATCCCCTTTTCCACCATTTCCTTTAACACTTCATCTGCTTTGTACATTTTCGCCGCTCCTCCCCTCTTACAATACCCATCAATTAAAGTATTATAAGTCACCACATTCGGCATCACTCCCCTAATCCTCATGTCTTCCACAACATCCTTAGCCTTATTCAACTTCCCCGCCTTACACAGCCCGTTTATAATCTCATTAAATGTGAACAAATTAAGCACAATCCTCCTCCTAATCATTTCCTTGTACATGAACTCAACTACCTCAGTTTTCCTCTCCTTTACCAACAGAGCCAAAAGCGGATTACACGAATGAACAGAGAGCTTAAACCCATAATCACCCGCCCGCTTAAACGCCTCTATTGCAAAATCAAGTTTCAAAGCATTAACAAGAGCCAGTAACAGCATATCAACAATAAGAGAGCTAACATGGTGGCCATCACTACACGTCAACAAGACATGAAAAAACACGGAAACCGAATGGATTTTGCCATCTTTAACAAACGAGTGCAGCAAAGATCTAACCTTTGGGTATCTCTTTTCGTTCGCAGCCAAAACCAACAATCTGCACAGATGCTGGAGAGAATAAGAAACCTTATACGCACTCTGGGACCATTTGAAGAACGCGATAATGGCGTCCGAATTAAACCCGGACTGGAATAGCTGTAAGAAGAAGGCGATTGGGTCGGCTGGATTGATTATGATTCTGAGTTTGGACCAGTGCTGCTTCGCGATTAGGTCTGAGACGGTGGATCTCAGAATATGGTCCGTGAGCAAACAGATTGCCGGAGTCGGGTTGGTTTCCGGGTTTGGATGAAGAACGGGGGCGTCATTCGTGGAGGTGAAAGGAGCGATTTGGGTAAGAGAAGCGGAGAAGATGTGTGTTTGCGATGGGAGGCGACGCAGTGTGCTGCAGCTAAAGGACATGGGGAGTGAGGGGGGAGAGCAGAGGAGAAAACGACGCCGGGTACTGTGCAGCTAATTCAGGTATTTCTGCTCGGAAGAGGAGGGAATCGGGGAATGGAGATAATTCTATATCCCTACAAAGAACTCATTAAATAACAAAATTACATTGAATAAGAATTTAAATTAATATAATAAGATTTTAATAAAATGATGATCTCATTTTTTGAATATTTTGTAGAGATAATTAAAAAAAATATAATACTCTGTATATTTTAGAGGAATTGTGGAGATAATGAAAATAAGTTGTGTGTGTTTGTTGTTTTAAAAATAAGTGTATTTATAATATTGAAAATAATTTTTTTTAAAATAAATGCCCAACGGTCCAAATTATGGCCGTTGGGAGGAGGGAGAACCGATGGGAGAGGAAGAAGCGCTGCGTCAAAGCTTTAACACAAACCTTTTAGAGGGATGCTAGATGCACACCAAAAGTATATCCCAAATGTACATCAACCTCTTCATTACCACTCATTTTTATTTATTTCTTTTCTTTTTAAATTTACATGTCAAAATATGTGTCAATGGCAGGGGTGATGTATATTTGAAGTACACTTTTGGTGTACCCCTAGCATTTTTGAACCTTTTAATGATCGGATAGCGATAAAGGGGGCAGTGTTTAACGCCCACCGTGCTTTAAAACACACTTAACGCCTTTGGAAAAGGTTGCCTAAGCCTATGGACTTCATTCTCTTAGAAAATACGGAGCAATTACTCAGAAAGGACCATGCTACACTTACACTAAAAAATATACCTCATTTGTACACCACAGGTTTGCACAAACATTTCGATAGTTTACACCGACACAAATGTTGGTGCGTTTATATAAATTCACACGGACACAAATGTTGGTGCGTTTAACAAAAATTAGTTTTACACCAACACAAAATGTTGGTGCAAAACTACGGAATACAAATTGGGGCACAAATCTTGGGGTACACATAGCATAATCCACTTAGAAATTACTCCCTCTGTCCACCATAGATCTTCCCAGACACTATTCACAGGGTCAAACTTTACTCACTTTGTTTACTCATTTTCACTAGTTATTTCGTAAAATAATATAGTCTTGTCACCTCTAGTTTTGTAGAACTTTTCATGTAGTTTATTACTATATAAATTTTATTTTCAAATTTTACTCCTATAATCAATTAAATTGAATTGAAAATAAAGTCGGTCAAGCCTCGTAACGCGTAATGAGAAGATCTTAGGTGGACGGAGGGAGTATCAATTAGGACACACAAACATCTCTCTCCTTCTTCTCTGAATTTTGTCTTCTTCACGATCTGATTTTCTTTTTCTTTCTTCATAAATTTCGAATTTCATCCACGAATCCTGTGTGAATATCTTTTTGTATTCCAATTTGTTTGATTGTATTATCATCTCGTCATGTCTCTCCAACTTCTTATTTTTCGAACTCAATTTGTTTTTTTTTTTTTCATAATTAATTGCTCTCCTAACTTTGACTATCCCCACTTTACCACCTCCATATTCATTCAATCGGTAGCTCTTACAATGGAAGCTGGATTTCAAGCCTTTATTGATGTTCAATATCCAAATGTAACAATGAAGATCAAATCACAGCAATTATGGAAGGGAAACTAGGGACTAGAATTGAAGCTGAAATCCCAATTACATACGATATCTTTTCTCTAATATTATACGGAGTATTTTTTTTTTTAGCGAATATGAAATATGTAGACCTCACATTTTTTTTCTTTCCATATAAAAATTAAAAATATCAAGAACTTTTTTCAATCAATCCAATACCGATAAATGATATTTATTTCGTCATATTTCATTTTAATTTAAACTAACTTTGCAATTCTCATTCCTATTTTTATGGTATTTGTCCTAAATTCCTGCTGCTTTGTGATGTCTATTTGATTTTCTGAACCAATTAGTGTTACAACTCATGAGTTTTAGTTCAGAAAGAAAAAAGGTTCGAATTGAAGTTCACAAGTTGAAAAGAGATTGAATGAGGTATTGCAGCATAAAGAAGTTGAACAAAATGATAAACATTCAAAAAATGACTCGGATTGGGCTCAGGCGCTAGGCAGGTGCGCGCCTCAACTTCTAGGCCTCTATTAGAGTGACGATTGTAAGTAAAAATTGTACTACTCTTGTCCCAAAAAGATTTACACGTTTCAGAAAAATTGCATCTCACAATCTCATACCCATTTCTATTAAGAAACCATTTTTACTCCTTACTTTTTCAAACCCTACCTATCACATCATACCTTTTTTCTAATAATCTACCCATCACATCCTACTTTTACTCATCACATCAATGGTATTTTTGAAAAGTCAACACAAAATTATTTCTCCCTTAATTTCAATGGGAAGTTGAGGAACGTGACCCAAGCACCTACTTGGACTCCCCCTGCCCTATAAGTACCTTCGTATGGGCCTCTCCTTCACCATCAAAACTCACTTTCCTCTCTCTCCCTCTCTCTCTCACTCTATCTATCTCTCTCTCTACCGCTTTAGGGAGAAAAATATTTTTGGTATAATTTAGAGTTTTAGTTCCTATTCTATTTCAATTCCTCTAATCTGGAAGTTGTAATAACTAGAGATAAGTTAAATTAATGGAGTAGTTGTGACATAACTTTTCACGTTAGTTAATATAATAGTCCAACTAGTTAAATTATTTGGAAAATTCTCACCATTCAAATCAAATTGTTACTATACTTTGCCCAAATTAATCAAATAACTTCCATTTTAACATACTTTTGATACCAATGACTACACTTTGTCTAACTTAATAGAAAGTTTCCTTTGTTACCAATCTTTGTGAATACGGCACATGAATAAATTAACTTTTTTTAGAAGATTTACTACCGCTAAAACTATTTCGTCAATATTGAAGAAGGTGATGCACAGGGCGTGTTGAGGTATTGCTAGAAAATAAAGTGAGAGAACCTTGACTTTTTCTATTAATTGACAGTAGACACATGTGATAGGTTGGATAATTTTTTGGATTGACTATCCGTCAAGAATGGCCTATCAAGTAGTGTTTGGTGAAATTATCACATTTGACACCACCTATCGCACAAATAAATATGGAATGCCTTTTTGATAAGACTTAGGATGGGTATGGACAACTGGATTGAGGAATAAGACACTTGGGTTGAACCACATTAAAAGATTGAATCCAATCTGTTAGTTAGTTCAACTCAAGAGCTTATATATCGATTCTTTTCCTCACACTTTTCCAATGTGGGATACTCTTTAACACTTTTACTCCATTTGTTGGAGTCTATCAACATATGCAAAGCACACTTTTTTTGGTTGTGCACTTTTACAAGATGAGTCAGAGAAGTTTTTTGTGTTGGTCTTTATTACTCTTTTAGAGGTTGTGAATGGAAAAGTACCATTGTAGTTATTACTGATCAAGACCAATCAATGAGAAATGTGCTTAAAATTGTGATGCCAACTGCATCTCATAGACTATGCTATTGGTACATAAGATCAAAGGTTTGATGACCAGTGTCGGCAACATCATCTTATGTGTCATGCAAAACAGTGTCCATAATCAAAAGTGGTTTAGGACGATAATAAGAAGATGATGCATCCATTGATGTTTTTTTAGGTTGAGGTCCACTTGTGCATCCGAGTGGCAGCATTACCATCAAACAATTATGCACAAAGCTTTGGAAAAGGTAATGGAACTGTTTTCAAGGATCCAGCCTTTGGATGCCCCTTAACCTATAGCAAAAAAATTATAAGTTTTTTTTATAGTTATAAGTGAAAAAAATGTGAAATTTGCACTAAATAGGACTAAAACATAATGACTTTCATAATGTAGGACTTAAATTTTTTATTCCCTAAATAGGACTTAATAATGACCTAGTGGGAGGAATAATGTCCAGTAATGATGGACATTTACTTGAATAATGACTAATTCATAATGACCAAAGGTCCTACATTGGGAAATAAAAACATATAGTCCTATATTGGGAAAGTCATTATGTTTTAGTCCTATTTAGGTAAATTTCTCATTCATAGAAACATACCTTTTTAAAATCTTCCCATTCCTCGTTCCTTAAGGTAAAGGTATTTGTTTGAGTGTTGTATATGTTGCCAGTTTTGGTTTTCAAATACACCCATCCACTGTATTTGGCTTTCAGATTGCCATACGCCCATCTGTTTTTGACTCAAATTCAGCCCAAACCTTTCCTTGAGAACTCTTCCTAACTTATTCCACGTCTCTTTGTGCAAACTCAACTCTTTTCTACCCAACGTGTTTACCTATTCAATGCAAGTCTCGAATAAGCATTTTATTTGCTCATTTGACCATTGTTGTTTCTCTCCCATTTCTATTAATTAACAAACAAGGAGCAACAACATGAACTACTACAACAGTCATTAGCAACAATTAACAACAAATCTGAACTACAACGACAATAATCAACAAGAATAATCAACAACATGAACTACAGCAACAATCTTTAGCAACAATTAACAAGAAATTATTGATTATTGTATAAAAAAAGATATAAAAAACATGTAAAAAAATATTGTATAAATTGTTGCCGGCATGGCTGAGATTTGTTAATATGCCTTGAATTTATATTGTGTTGCTGCTACGCAGATAAGTAAACGGGGGTCTCGTTGCCCCGTCAGCGAGTTAGGGGGTCAAGGGGGGCGACGCCCCCTTGCCTGGGGTCCGAGGGGTGGAGTCTTCCCCGGCCCGACGAAAGGCTATGTTGTTGTATTAAGGTTTAATTGTTGTTGTATTCTGTTTACTTTGATTACTCAATTACTCTATTCTGTAATAACAAGAATGTAAAAAAAACATAGACTATTGTACAAATTGTTAACAACAAAAAATTTAAAAAGAACTGTTAAAAAAACAGATTAAAAAAACAAAAAAAGTGAAAAAAAACTTACTTGTTGCTGCAAAGATGAGAATCGGATGAGACGGACGGCTAGGGAGGAGGGAGACGGACAGTGGACGGTTGGGGAGGATGAGGAGAAGCCGGCGGAGGGAGAGAGGAGTCGCCGACAGTGGTGGAGACTCCGGCGGTAGAGGGTCGCGCACAGGGCCGGACGGAGAGATCGGGAAGGGAGGCG